TTGGCTGTAGATTTTATTTCCTTTTTTTTTATTTTTCAACCTGGCAGGCAATAAAAATATTAGTAATTATTTTAAGAGTGAGATGATATATAAACATGTTGTCCTTAATAACATAAACCAGAAATTTTAAGCTAAGAGTTTCATGAAGTCCACCTGAATTTATTTAGGTTTTATTTGCTTAAAACCTTAAAAAGTATCTGCAATGGGTGACGGCTCCTGTTAATAATAACAATACTTTGGACTTGTAATGCACTTTATATTTATACAGATCCCAAAGTGCTACATAGTAAAACAGGTAAGTGCTAAATAAAAACACATTGTGAGAGCATGAGAAATAAAACAGTAAAAGGAAAGATAAAATAATCAAAGACAATAAGTTTAAAAAAAGGGAAAAAAGGGGGGGGGGGCGATCTCAATTAAAAGCCCACTTAAAAAGATGGGTTTTTCACAATTTTTTGAAAAGACCTGCCCTCTCCAAAAAAATGCACGTGCACAACCCTGTACCTGCTCCTGATAGGAGCGTGTGCAAGAGCATGCAAGAGCCCATTTCTCCTCGTGCACGCTCTGTTTAAAAGTTGCTGTTTGCATCGCTCATACAGTACAAGCTTACTTTCCAAAAGAAGACTCACGTAAGTGAAAAGTGAAAATGGGGACAAGCATGTAGGGCGGCCTTACGTAAACATATAACCCAAATTTTGTCAATTAGGAGGACTGCTTATTTAGATGATCCACCCGGAAAAAGAACATCCTCTACTGTACCTTTAAGATTTTGAAAGCAAAAAAATACATAGGAACAATGAGAAGGTGACTGCATGATTCAGTTCTGTTGTGAAAACAATACAATTTCCACAAAAGCACTAACAAATTGGTCTTTTTAGGGGGTAAAAGCAATGATAGATATTCTTATTAATAAGCTAAAAAATTTCAAATTAAAGCCCTCAACTGCAACAACTTTCAAGGCCAGGTTAGAGTAGCTGCACTCGTCATCAAGAGAGCTTGGCTGAGAGGAAGAGTTCAGCTTAGTCCACATCTACTGTACTGTACAGCCCATGCCTGCTGCTGCAGTGAAAGAGGGTCATTCAGTCAGGCTTCCATTCAGTCAGGCTTCCTTAATCCTCAGATATGTTAAGGAGGAAGATGTCTCAGCTAAAAACAACCCTGTGTGTTTGAGTCAACATTTTTATAAGATCTGTTTATTTGCATGTTGTGAGTCAACTGTTTCGCAATGGCTAATTGGATGAAAACAAAAAAAGATTAGCAAGTTGTTCTCTTTTTTTTTTTTTTCTCTGGAGAAACTTTCCATGAAAGAGGATTCTCAAGAGGAAGACAGATGTTACACAATTACACTTCTTTACTTTTAAATGATATACAGAATTGATAATTGTTGAAACAGACATGCTTCAAAGGTGCATGTTGATAAAACCTGTTTTAGGACCATGATGTTTTCCAGGTTGATGGTCTATTTTTATAAAAAAAAATATATGCTTCTGTTTTCCTTTCAAAAACCATATTGAATCACAATAAATGTTTCTCAAGGCCTAGAAAAACGTGGTATCGGACAAGGATTTTTTATTTTATTTTTTAAATCATTTGCTTGGGGATTGGTAGCTATAATAAATAAAATGCAAATGTATTCCCATATCAATGAAATGCAAACAAATTCCTGGCCTTGTAAACAACATTTTGACGCATGTTTGATGAACGCTTAACAGCATTACTTGGGGTAATATCATAATCATTTTACTACCTGGTATAATTTAAACTGCTCCACCAAAATAACCTGAGGCACATATTTTTTTCCACTTTTTCTTTTTGTTTTATTTTTCGATGAGTCAAAATTAAAATCAGCAGGTCAGACCTCAGAGAAAACCATGTATTAATATTGGACTGAGAAAGAATAATAGGTTTAGCTCTAATGATGCTGTCTACTCTGTAGGAAAAGAATGGAAAATAACTTTACAAATAGACAGTATAAAGGTAGCTACTTCCGAAAAGTGCTTAAAATATTTGGAAAAGAAAAACGTTCCTCAAGATTCCTGGAATTTTCAATAAGTATTTATTATCCAGATTCTTTTCCTCATTAATTAACAGATGTAGTTAAATATTTTTTTGCAGTTCTATCAATGCTCTTGGAGTCTTGGGCTCCAACTCTGTCTTCCAATGTTTTATTTAATTTATTTAGGGGACAGAAATGTTTCACACTGAAGCATTTGTAATAGCTGATTTTTGTTTCACCCAGTTAAACACTTTCATCAGGCATTGACAAACTGAGTGGATTAATGTACATTTTTTCGTGGTACTCAACTTTCCCATTTGTCTTGCATGACCAAAACAAGAGACACTTTTTGTTCAAAAAACATAAGTGACTCGTTGGAAAAGTTTTTAATGATAGGCTGAAAGAAAATCTGGGAGGAAATTCAAGTCACAATTCAGCTTATTTTTAACCACTATTCTTCTCATATGATGGCTACAGTCTAACCCATGAGCTTATTCTGCAACACATTTTAATCATCTGGCTTATGCCACATCTGTGCTTTTATTTTCAAATCTTTTGGTCATTTTAGATATTAGCACTAAGAAGGACAGCTTCTAGTTTCTAGACTAAACACTCAAAACGGACGATATTTGAATGGTTTCAAGCTTGTGAAAGAACTGGAGACCTGCAGACTTACAACCACACTGAAAAAAGGCTACTCCTCAGCTCTACAGCTAGCATGTCATCACTTCCTTCCTTTAAAAGACAGTTATGATCCCACAACAACAGCAGAAGCTGACTGGCATTAAGAATTGGGACACAGGAGACTTCTTTTCAGCAATTCAGGCAGTGACTTTACACAGCTGTCCTATGAACAATCACCTTTTTTACAGTCATATAGGAAGAAAAGAGTGACCTAAAGTCTGGATCAAGTCAAAGTTTTAGGACCCTAAAAAGGAATTAATTCAAGGCAGATGGGGATCAGTGTAAGGAATCAGTGTAAAGATCAGACATGAAATTGGTAGTTTGCTCCTGAAGCATGGCATGCAGCCCTGTCTGAGCAAACATTACTAAGTTTGCTACCAAACAAATTAGTGATTATGGCTCCAGCATAAAGCACTTTGAGTGGTCGTGTCACTAGCAAGACACAAATAATTGAGCCAATTTACCATTTGAGGGCCTTCTATCTTTCATCAGGCACCATAGTTTAACTAATATTTTCTTTACATGCATGTTTTCAAACTTGTACGCATTAAAATACTTCACAATCTAGAAAGCCATATCAGCTGCATTATAAAAATGAGTTTCTGAATTACATTTAAACGAGTTTAAGTAACATATATATTAATAGCAATTAAAAAATCAAGGGGAGAATTAACTCATCAGAGTTTGAGGTATTTATTATAGGTTATAATGTTTGATGTTTAGGTTATTGAGTGATGCGTATCATTTGGGGGGGATTCTGTAGAAAGGGTTTGACAAAGGGAGGGACATTCAGTACAATTACTCAAGCTGATTGGTTACCTGCCTCCAATGTCCAGCTTTTAGCCAATCACAGTCACAGCAGCAGCTTATATGTTTCATGTTTCACAGAGTTAACTTATAAATTAAACTCAAATCAAACCAAATCCAGTCGGGAAGAAAGCGCAGCCATCTTCCCATCCACAGAGGCAACAATCACATCCTTTAGCTGTTTTTTTACAAGGAAATAGAGGTTATTCCAACTGAAATCGGACCAGCCATGTTTGTTTTGCTGCAGCCTCTGGTTGACGCATTGATGTCATACATGTCAACACATTTCATTGGCTCCAAACTTTTCTGTTTCGAGGCCAAACACATCTGTTCACTTCTGGCAAGATGTATTTTTGGGAGTTTGTGAATTTAGAAATCTCAAAAAGTTTTTTTTGTTGTTTTTTTTTATATATCCTGGAAGGCAAACTTGCATAAAAAATGATCAATAAGAGTGATCACCAATCTGGCTTTTCATCCAGACCTATGCACAGATTCCAAAAAAGGAAAATAGTATAAAGAAGGACAGATCTATAGGTTGAACCTTGGGAACATCTGAAGCTGCCTCTGAAGCTGCGTATACTCCTGAGTTTCCCCAGTTAGGTCATTTTTTAAATAACAAACTGTTCTAAGTGGGCTTCTGGGTGCCCTAATATTTCATTTTTTAATAAAGAAAAAAAAAAGGTTCACATGCTCATTTATTTGAAATTGGAGTATTTTAGCTTTAAATACCTAAAAAAAGTCAGATGCACAACTTGAACCTAATTTGTGCAATTATGCTGGGGATCCCGGGGTTCCTTGTTGATTTAGGGGCCTTGGAATAGCTTTGCCAGTGTCTCTTTCTGATATGAAGAAAAAGAAACCCTGCAAAGTGTAGAAATTGTAGTACCTTCACCATCATCATCTTAAAACCTGCCCACATATCCTTTAAAATTTGTTTTATTCTTCTCATTTGCTTGATTTAAAATTGTGTACATACATTTTAAAACCAACCCTGCCATAGGATTACAACATGTACATTTAGAAAAGCAGTGTGTCCTTGGATGGTGTGTTGAGGAACACCAGTCTTAACCTTCACATCAGCTGGGTTACTGTTATCTTTAGAGACAATGAGGAATCCCAAAATGTAGCTCAAACCTGACAAAATGCCTCAATGTTGCAGACATGATCGCTTTCACATCTAAATAAAAGCAAACATTTTCCTTCATAATTTGATACACAATTCAATAACATGTTTCTGAATTAAAATCACTTGATAAGTGTACATTTTCTAGATGTGACCATTTTAAATAGAACATAGTTGCATTTAAAATGCTCTTGATCTATGCCTCATGGTGCAAAGCTGCTGCTTTCATGGTTTAGCTGTGCCTTGGTTAAAATGACATGAGGGTCATCACCAGACAGTTAAAAGTTACAGGGATCTCTGTGGCATAATATCTTGGTTTGAGCGGCTCATCAACAGGTGCACAAACTTCCGCGCGTCTCATCTAGTGACAAAAGTAGAGGATGAACTTACACGAACGCGTGGTAGATGAACGCCCAGGCTCTGGGTCTCTCCAGGACGTTGTATAGGTAGTTCTGTAGCCGCCTGTAGCGCACGTTTCTCCGGCCGCTCTGCGCGCTGTAGACCAGCGGCTTCCCCAGCAGGCTGAGCCGGGCTCCCTGCTTCCCAGCCAGGCTGTCCGAGCCGCGACCTCCGGTGGTGCTGCTGGTGGAGGCAGCGGTGGCAGAAGGGGACAGCAAGCCATCTCCCGCGTTGTTCAACATCATCTTCTGTCCGGATTCCACATCTTTGACGCCGTAGCCTTCGCTTTGATGTCTGGGTGAGGCTCTCATCCAGAGCCCGCTCCCTCCTCCACCTCCACCACCTTCGTCTCCGCTGTGGTTCCTGGGCATGGCATCACCAAAGCTGGAAGCAAGTGCGCGCAATGTCCCCAGCCGTAAGCGCTACAGTTTTCTCTGCACGTGTGAGGCGCAGAGCGGAAACCAAAAAAAAAAAAAAAAAAACACACACACACACAAAGAAAAAAAAAACACAGCAGTGCCAAACCTTAACCCGGCCGGGCGCACTACACACTTCTCACCGCCCTCTTACATCAGCCTCCCAGATTCATACATACATAAATACACAAAGGTGCCCACGTGTGCCCTCCCGGTAGTGACAGACTGCAGTTTGTCTGTGGGTATATTGCGCGCGGGGGAATAATGCACTGCGCTCTTCCTCTTGCGCGTCAGCCACAGATGCGCATTAGTTTTATCTCCGTCAATTTTTGTTGATTTTCGTTTAGGAATGTGGGCTTCCTGATTTCCATTTTCCTTTTTAGAAGGAGAAGTTTGCGCGTTGAGGCAGATTTCATGCAAATGAGTAACCGTCGCAGTTCTGATTAAGCAATAGCCTGGAAATTAACATGGGAGATTATACATTGGGTGTAGAGCATGCATCATTTGCCTGAAGAAAGCTCATTTCTCTAGTATTAAATGTAAAAAAAAATAACCCTTTATCTTTCTACCTTTAAAAGTATTCCTCTTTCAAATATAAAAGAGCAAAAATCTAAGTCACTACTGTGGATTAAACGGCTGGGAAGAACAGAAAGCAATATTTCATTTTCCCCCACTTTAATTGAAAGTGCTTTGAGGAAAGAACAAGCTTAAAGTCAGTTATATGCTGCGTGAGAACTTCCTCCTTAGGCTGCTTTTCTCATGAGACTTCTGCTGACTGAAACCTTTAGTTTCTGCATCGACCTGACCTTTCTGATCAGCGCGTATTTCAGAGACGGATCTCACTCAACTTCCTGTCACAAACGTGCAGAGACCTTCTTGTAAATGAGCGGCGCTCAGGTGTGCTCTGAGTTTATTGCAAAGAAAGTGAGAATGACGCTTCGTCCCCAGCCGAAATCAGTCTTTCTACGAAACGACGCCATCTACTGGTGAATGCCTGTAGTTTCAGACTCCTTTGAATCGGTTTCTGCAAACCCTTAGCCACCAAAACATGAAAAGTGATATATATGCCCCAAAAGTAGTATGATAATAATCTTTGACATAAGATTGCAATATATATCTAAAGCATAAGACTAACCGGTCGATATGCATGCCAAAGCATTCACTGATATCTCAGATAAAAAAGAAAAAAAATAATAATTCAGTTTCCTGTTGCAGCAGTATAGGCTTAAAACAAAGAACAGAAAACGTTTTGAACTTTGCTCTATTTCTCTTGTAAAGTCCAACTGATTTGGGAATGATTTCATATTTCGTGAGTACTTATTTTTTCAAACAGTTGATAGTGCCAGTTTGCTTTAACAAGCTTCACTGTTCCATTGCATGAGAAATAGGCCCAAAGCATCACAGATCCTTCACCATACTCGACAGAAAGCATGAGATGCTTTTCCACATTTGAATCTCTTTTTTTTCCTTTTGCCTCTGAGTCATCTTTGGAATTTTAATGCTGTAAATATCAAATTAAAGTACAGCTTATCATACTAAACCTCTTAGTTCCAGTTAAAATACCAGAGGAGTTTAAATATTAATGTTTATGGTTGTGATACTAGGAGAAAAGGGCATCTGTCTTCCTCTGAAATGGTGAACTGGTTAAAAAAATGCAGTTTGTCATTTTATGAGAACTTTTGAAAATAAGAGCCTTTAAGCAGGTATTGAGCAAAGCTTCCATTAACCCATATTTCTTAATTAAATGGGTTTTTATGGGTTCAACATAATTTAATCTAAAATGTCATGTTTTCATTAGCTGCATGCAGAAAATCTTTATTATTACGAGAAACAACGGCTTTAAAAAAAATCTGTTTTTGCATAATTAACCTAAACCTGTTTCAGTTCAATTCAGTTAATTAACATAACCCCAGTTCAAAACACATGTCGTCTCAAGGCACTTTACAGAAAAAATAAAATAAAATCACTCATATCATACAGTCAGATTGTTTCAAAGTTTTCTATCTTAAAAAACAAACAAACAAACACTACCAAAAGACAGCTGATTGCATAAAGCCATTGGCATTGCAGGGCATGCTACTCTTGGATGGGCATGTTGGGACAGTAGATAGTCAATTGTATTGTGTCTGCAATCCCTCGCACTGAGGAGCATGCACACAATAAACTCTGAAATGACTCTGAAATAAGTGAACTTTTCAATAATATTTGAATTCCCTGAATGGATCAGTCGACCACATCTGTAATGGAAACATAACAATACTCTTTTTTTGCAGCTGTCCATTGTAGAGTAGATCTTTTCAACCTGCCATACCATCGACAGCCTCTGCAGATCATCCTGTTTAACCCCCAGGGAAACATAATCATGGAATACAACTTTGAACGTCCGTAAAAGTTTAAAAAACAATCCACTGGACTTTGTTTCCAAGGTTTGAAGACGTTTTGCTTCCCCTCCAGGAAGTTGAATTGAGAAAGCTTCCTGGAGGGGAAGCGAAACGTCTTCAAACCTTGGAAACAAAGTCCAGTGGATTTTTTACAGAATGACTATGGCCTGGACGACTGAGAATCTTCACCAGCACAAAGTTGAACCTCCCCAAACTCTCATTAAGTTGAAAAATAAATGACATAATTAAAAAATGCTTTATATAAATATTTACAATTTTGAAGGATTAGGCACCAATAACTGTGGTTGTGTTGATAGACTATAGTTTTACATAAGACTGTTAGCATCTCTCAATAGATGTACAGTACCTAAAATAAGATACATTTTTAAGGAGTTTTTTAGTTTATAATGATGGTGCTGCAGTCAAAGCCAAAGGCTGTTTGCACATCTTTACCTGTGATGTTATTAAATGTGGTCATGAAGGACATTACCCATTTTATGCACATAAAAATGTCAAAACATACTCACTTTGATGTTTTATATATCACATAATATACATTTGTTACATGAATCTGAATATCATAAAAATAATTTAATTCACTGTAGAACCTCGGTTCTCTAAGAGAAACACATCATGCGTATTTATTAAATACAGACTAATGATTTCCATCCTTTATTTGTATTAGCTTAGATCTGCACAGTGACTGAAAATATGACAATTTAGATTAGGATGTTAGGTTCATGCCCTGTGATAGACTGGCGACCTCTCCAGGGGTGTACACTGCCTATCGCCTATTGACAGCTGAAGATAGGTACCAGCATCCCTCCCGACCCCAACAAGGATAAACATGACGGAAAGTGGATGGATGAATATTATGTCCGGAAAAGAAAATGAACAATACAGAAATGTTGTCATTAAAGTTACGTTTAATAACTCCCTATAGATCTTTATTTTTAAAAGATTCATTAACTTGTCGTGATAATGGCTCTGAGGGCTGGCCTAATTGCTCATTTCATTCACCTGCCTTACTCTGCCCCATTTCCAATGACTGTTCATAACTAATCCACCTGCTCCTCCTTCTATATATACTGTACGGCTCAGCCCCTGCCATCTGGGCCAGATTATTGAGGTTGAGATCATTGCTGATGGCTCTGTGGAGAGAGTGAGTTTTTTAGCGTTTTGTAATGTTCTTCTCATCCTGACCTGTTCTGCCTCTCAACTACTGAGTTTGCCTGTTCCCATCTGAGCATTCTGCCTGAACTCACTGTGGACTCCGGGAACCCTGAACCAGCCTGTTCCTGTTCTCATTGGCATCCTTGACAAGGCTTCAAACTCCTGGTGTCTCTGCGCCTTCCTGCTCTGATCTGTTTCCCTGACCTGGCCCGGACTCCTGCTTGCCCTCCCGAACTGCATCATCTGGTTCACTCTGGGTGTTGCCCGCCACATCTAAGTGGCAGCCCTTACTTACCTGTGTTTCTCTCAAACAATAGTTTCCGGTGATGAGCAGTGCCTCACCACAGCCGCTGAGATCCACAGCCCGCAGCTTGTTTCTGAATAAACGCTTTGAATTATCCCACTGTCTTTCTCGCCTGAATACTGGGTCCTTCTGTCTCAGTTCTGACATAACTTTGACAAACTAGGTAAATAGGAATAAGTATTCTCATTCATTGGATAAGACTTTAAATAAAGCTCCTCATTGAAGCAACTTATTCATATTTCAAAAACTGTTCTTACTGCTTTTCAGGATTGTCATGTGGCATTTTTTTATTTTATTTTTCTAAAGACATATACTTTGACCTATGAATCATTAAAGGACTACATTCAAATGACTTGTTTGTTGTTTGCTGCCCTCAACCAATCAGGCTTCCTCCAGCTGCTCGACAATGTCCTTGCCACTGTGCTTAGCTGTGCACAGCTGGGGTATAGATGACACTCAAGGATGCACTGTGTCCCTCTGGACAGAAACACTGATGCCATGACCTGCTGCAACTTTTTAAAGGCCATCTGGAGAGCCATTACCAGCAGAAAGAGCAACCTAACATGCAAACATTCCTATTTATCAAACACCCACAGAAACAAGGGAGAACAGTAAAAGGAACCTTGGGGATTTTCAACTGAGATAATATGATGGGATCATCTAGCACAAGATAGGGAGAGCAAAATATTAGGAGTGTAATACAGAGTTCTACCCTGAAGGCTGAAGGGAAGGTTTTTTACCTGGAAAGGTTTTGTCCCCCCAGGATTAAGTTGTACAAGGAAATTCCGCATCCAGTCAGAAGAGCAACACTGGAAGCTCTGGATTTAAATAGAGCTGGTGGGGTCACAGTGGTCACACAAGAAGTAACCTGATCTGCCTCTGCTGAGTTAGGGATTTCTGATCATCAGAGAAAGTTTGATCTTATATCACCAGTGGTATTATATGGAAATTTTAAACTGGCACATATCACACAAAAACTGACCCAAACTGTGGTGCATCTTTTTTAATACAGCTCAGTTGAATATGCAGAAGATAATAATAATAATAATAATAATAAT